GCTTGAGCCACCGCGCCCGGCTTCCTCTTTCTTTCTTGATGGAGGCTCGCTCTGTCCCCAGACTGGAGTGCAATGGCACAATCTCAGCAATCTCAGCTTACTGCAACCTCTGCCTTCCCTGCCACAAGTGAGTTCAAGTGATTCCCCTGCCTCAGCGTCCCAAGTAGCTGGGATTACAGGCACATACCACCATGCTTGGCTAACTTTTTGTATTTTAGTAGAGATGGGGTTTCATCATGTTGGTCAGGATGGTCTCAAACTCCTGGCCTAGTGATCCACCTGCCTTGGCCTCCCAAAGTACTGGGATTACAGGCGTAAGCCACCAAGCCTGGCCTCGCCTTCTTTTTTTTTTTCTTTTTTTCTCAGATACAGTCTTGCCCAGGCTGGAGTACAGTGATGCGATCTCAGCTCACTGCAACTTCCGCCTCCCAGGTTCAAGTGATTCTCCTGCCTCAGCCTCCCGAGTAGCTGGGATTACAGGCGCCCGCCACCATGCCCAGCTAATTTTTGTATTTTTAGTAGAGATGGGGTTTCACCACGTTGGCCAGGCTGGTCTCGAACTCCTGACCTTAGGTGATCCGCCCACCTTGGCCTACCAAAGTGTTGGGATTACAGGCGTGAGCCACTGCGCCCAGACCACTTTCTTTCATCCAAAATACCGGATCCCAAGAGCCCTTGCTCTTAGCCCGAACTCCTCCACCCAAAGCCTTGACCTCACATTTACTGAGCACCTTTCTGTGCTGGATGCTTGGCATATGTCATTTCGTGTCATCCTATGACGTATGTTCAATTCTTATCCTCCTTTGACAAGTGAGGAAACAGGCCCAAAGAGGTCAGATAATTTGCCCAAGGTTTCACAGCTAGTAAGCAGAGGAGCTGAGATTCGCACCCACGCCCTTGGGCTCCGGAGCCCGTACACACAGAATCCCTAAAAGTCAGAGGTACAGGGGTCTTTAGAGGTCATCTTATCCAACACCCCCATTCTTCAGATGGGGAAACTGAGGGCTGAGAAGGGAAGGAACTTACACAGCAAGTAAGCAGTGGACTCAGCTCTGTGCCAAGTTTCCTTTTGCCTGCCCAGACAGCTGCCATCTAACTGGGGCCCCGGGCCATGGGGACATGGCCTCCTGCCCCAGCCTCCTCTCCTTACCAAACCATTATTGATCTTTCTGGGTGGATGTTGGGGGGGGGCTGATAATAGGGTGGGAGGGGTGGAAAGAGGGGGAATCCCCATCGTAGTGTTTGTTTAGCCTTTTGATTTGTCCCTTTGGGGGTCTGCAGGCATAGACAGATGGGAGAGAGGAAAAGCTTGCAGCTTGGAGCTGCTGTTGGCCGTGATGCCGTGGCTTGTGCCACCTCTCCCACATGTAGGCCTGGCGCAGGCAACGCTGCTGGGCAGGTCAGAGACCTCCACTCCTTAGTGGGGCTCCCAGACAGAGGGGGCCTGGGACCTCGGAGGTATGTCCATGGGTCCAGGAGGAGGGGAGATAAAGGGGCAGGGAGGGATGAGACCCTGGAGGCAGGGTGGCCCAAGAAAGGACAGAAACAGGTTGGGAGATTACAAGAGAAAAGGAGGAGTCAGACAGCGTCTCTGAGCCTGGGTTTTCCCAGCTTCTCTCCAGGAAGGCGCCTCAGTTTGAGTCCTGCTGAATGAACCCAACCCTAAAGGCAGGTCAGAGGCCTCCTGTCTGCCCCTCCTGCCACTCACTGTCAGAGGTAACACTCACTGATGTCCCTCTGGGTCACCGCCAAAACTTCCTTGAGTGACCTTCCCTCCCTCGGACCTGCTCCTGCTGAAGATCCCACCATGGCTCCCCACCACCAGCAGCACAAGGAGCTTCTGCCTTAGCCTGGACAGGCAGCCTCCACAGTCCGATCGCACGTAGCCTCTCTAGCCTTAGCCCAGCTGTGTCTCCCCAGACACTGTGACTCGTTGCTCAGGCAGTTTCAGAGCCCTCTCCCTCCTCCATGTGTATAGTCCCCTGCTGCAAGAGCAGCTCTCATGCTTCTACCTCCTCCAGGAAGCCTTCCCAGGTCTCTGCCCCTCTCACTGGTTATCTCAGCTCTTCGGAGTCAGTCCCTGTGGTAGGCAGGCCCCCCGGGGCTGCTGGGAATTCTCCACCAGCTCATCCCTGTCCATGCTGGATGTCCCATGCTTGTGATCTTCCAGGGCTGGGGAGGGGAAGCCAGCAGACTGGGACCCAGGGGGGTTTCTCTTATGCCCTTCAGCCCTACCTTCGAGGAGCTGGGGAAGGGGGTGCTGTTGCTGATGATCCAGAGCACTGGCTCTGTAGCTAGACAGCCTGAGATTGAGTCCCAGCTCCGTGACTTTCTGGCTGTGTGGCCTTGGACTAGTTACCTAACCTCTCTGAGCACTTTTCCACATCTGCATAAAAGGGGATGGCAGCAGCACCTACTTTTCAGTGTCGCAGGATTGTAGGCTGAACACCAGCATTCACTGAATATGGAAGCTCCTTCTCCTCTCCAGGCCTCACCCTCGGCGCCCTTCTTCCCACACCCCTCACTCCCCCCACCATCCCTCACTTTGTTCTGGCAATATGGATACATTGGCCAAGTTTTCTCTCTTTTGTGCCCTTTTGTACATGCAATTTCCTGGCAGGAATGCTTCTCCTGCCATGTCCACCTAATCTTCTGTCCCTGAAGCCTCAGCTTGGTGTCACCACCAGGAAGCCTTCCTTGATACTCCCCATCATTCTACTCTCTCCTGCCAGAGCTAGCTCAGGGACCCCTCCTCTGAGCTTCCCAAGGAGTCTGATATATGATGTGTTGGTCTTTTTTTTTTTTTTTTTTCCTTTTGAGACAGAGTCTTGCTCTGTCGCCCAGCCTGGAGTGTAGTGGCACAATTTCAGCTCTCTGCAGCCCCTGCCTCCCAGGTTCAAATGGTTCTCCTGCCTCAGCTTCCAGAGTAGCTGAGGTTACAGGGTGTGCCACCACACCCGGCTAATTTTTGTATTTTTAGTAGTGATGGGGTTTCACCATGTTGGCCAGGCTGGTCTCAAACTCCTGAACTCAAGTGATCTGCCCACCTTGGCCTCCTAAAGTGCTGGAATTACAGGTGTGAGCCAGCACACCTAGCCTGTACTGGTCCTTGTGATGGTCTCCCCAGCTGGCAGGGGCCTCACTCCCCTCTGGGCACCTGGTAGCAGGAAAGGAGGATGCAACAGTAACTCTGGGAAGTAGAAAAGTTCCTTTTTAAAGTTTCCTTTCTTGTTAAAGAATAAGTGTGCTAATAGCTTTGTGAAGCCCTATTCTATGTAGCTGTTAGACATGCCATGCTTACAGGTACGTAGTACATTCTATGTCCTTGTATTTTCACCAAGATACCTGTGCTGGACGTGCTCACATGCATGCCCCAGCTCTCCATTGCTTTGACCTGTTTAGAAAAGTTTTAAGTTGTAGCCAATCGGGTTTTAGTTTAGATTGTGAGGTCTGGCTCCAGCCAGTGGAGACCAGACACAGCAGTAAGGATGACCCCAAATGCGTGAGGGATGAATTTGTGTGTTTGCCTTTGTTCACTGTACTCTCGTGGCAAGATGGCTAGCGAGGGTACCCTTCCTGCAGTCCAGGAAGTAAAAATTGCGTTGCTGAAAGATCCTTTGTCTCAGTGCTGATTTTTCTTGCAGCACTGAGCATCTCTTCCCAACAGTAACCCATAGGAGGCCTGAGTTCCCGATTCCTAGAGAAGAGATGAAGTTGATTCAGGGTCGAGCAGGGCTCCCCAGAAGCCTCCTCCTCCTACCCCAGCTTTATTTTGGTTCTAGAATCATTCCAGTCGGCATACCCGGTCCCCACCATGGCCATGCTGGGCGCACAGTTAACATGTCATGCAGTTAGGGGGAGGGAGAGAGGGGAGACAGCAGGAAGTGGGGAGTCAGTGGACCGCACTACACAGCCACTGGGTTAGAGAGAGTCAGGGTCTCCCAGGCTGCAACGCTTTGCCCAGCCACGTGTCTCCTGGCCCTGGACTGACCTCCTGCTGTGGCTACAGGGTAAAAGCCTGAACTTGGGCCCTGGCTATGTCAAGTGGAGAGAGTTACCATCCTGCCTCCAGTCCCCTGGGCCCCTGTTCTAGCCCTTCCTTCCCCCGGATCGTTGGGGATAACTGGTTGACCTGGGTCTCCATAGCTCACCAGTTATGGAGCAAGTAACAGGAGCATCCAGCCTAAAGGTCCATACTGTCACCTGTGCATGGCCTCACAGAGCAGATGCTCCCCGACCTGTTGGCCTGGGTGAACTCAGACCTCCCAGCACTCAGCCGTGAAGGGCTGCTTCCTGGAACTGTGGGATGCCAGGCTGGGGAGATGAGCTCTGCCTGCCCTCATCCTACTGAGGCTGGGGGGTAACCAAAGACAGATGCCTGTAGGGGTGCAATACCCCAGCCCCTCTGCTTCTGGGTGGGACCCGCCAGGGTGCCCCTCGAACTCCAGGCCCCTGCCTCCACAGCAATGAGGCCAAGGCAGATGGATCTGGAAGCCACGACTTTATTGGCTTCCACCCTCCAGCCTGAGCTCCCTTTGTTTCTCTGGTAAGTTTCTCTGAGAGCACTCACCCACAAGAACCCACTGGCCCAAGAATCCCCATCTCAGGTTTCACTTCTAGGGAACTCACCAGAGGACACACAGTGTCGGGGGGCACCACCCGTGATCGAGAGCCGCCTCCTTCGTAGTCCGGTCTTCTGTCTTCTCTGGGTGTCCCTCAAGCTGCCCTTCCACCCTGGCCTCCCCTAGCTTCCCATCGGGCCTCAGCCACCTGAACTGTCCCTTCCCACCACCCCTCCGTGGCCGCCACATTTTCCCAGGTGCCTGCAGCTGCCAGTCTTTCCTCCGCCCCGCCCCTGCCACCCCCACCTCCACCCCAGGCTGAGACCTGCCTGAGGCATCTTCCCCCCAGTGGACCTGGCCTGGAAGGGCATCGACAAACGCTTGTGGCCCTGGGCCTGGTTTGCACAGGACTGAGCACAAGGACCCGGGGCTGGGCCTCTTCGGACCTCTGGTTCTTGCCGTAGTTGAGGTCTGGGGAGTAGATTTCACAGAATAACTCCAGAGCCAGAGTTCCACGTGGCCGGCGGGCTTCTGCCTGGGCCTGGTCTCTTGGTCTCTTCTCTGCCCCAGAGAGAGGCCCTTCCTTGTATCCACTGCAGTGCGGTTAGGACTGCATGTGCGATGGGAAAGTTCACATCCTGCCATTGCTCAGGCTGGGCCCGCTGCCTGGGACATGCTCGGTTCTTTCCCTGTCCCTCCAAGCGCAGCTTGTACGTCGTCAAAGAGAACCTCCCTGTTCCCCAGCCCTCAAAGCCCCCTGGGTCCACACAGCTGGGTCACCATCAGCACTGCACAGATCCTCTGGCGGAGGGGAGCTTGTCTTCCTGATGTCCTAGGGGCCACTTCTTGTTCGTGTTACCCAGCACAGTGCCTGGCCCCCAAGATTCGCTGGGTTCCAGAACATGGCCTGGCTCGGCAGCTGGCCTCCCCGGAGGAGCAGGGTTGGGGGAGCTTGAGACGGAACACAGCTGTCCAGTGCTCAGAGCCTCCCTTGGTCCTGGCCCAGCACAGCTGGTCCTCATCGGGAGAAGACCCTGGGGTCCCGGACACAGAGCCACGTCCACTCCTCTGCTGCAATCTGGACAGAGAGACCAGGATGGCTCATGAGGGCTCTGCCAGGGGACCCCAGTGTTCACGGCTCCAGCTGGGCTATGAAGAGGGCATCAGACAGAGCCGAGTGGGTGCCAGGCTCCGGCAGCGCCACTGCCCACCTGGCCCGCCCTGGTTGCTAGTTTCGCCGGACAGCGTGCCACATGGACACGGGCCTGCGCAGCGTGGCCAACATCTGGTTCCAGTGTGTGGTTCCCATGCCGCTGGCCGACGGCCCAATGATGACATGGCCCACGTTGTCCCCACGGCCGTCGATGCTGCTCTCAGCCACCGTCACACGGAGAGACAGGTCCTGAGGAAGAGGCAACGTGGGTGCCAAGGACCAGGAGCAGCCAGAGGTACTTCTTGGCTCCTGGGTCCAAGGCTACAAATGTCAGGCCCTAGAGGGGAGCCAAGCGAAGCTCCCTGAATCCTCACCTCTGATCTAAGAGGGAAGGAGACTCGGCCCAGGTCATTCAGCAAATAAATGGTGGGCAGAAGTTTGAACGAGGTCTGCCCAGGCCCGCAGGCTTCTGCTGCCTCCCTCCAAGCCACGGCACCCGCCTGCAGAGTTCAAATGCCGGCCTCCCAACTTGCCTTTTTTTTTGAAACAGAGTCTCACTCTGTTGCCCAGGCTGGAGTGCAGTGGTGTGATCTTGGCTCACTGCGACCTCTGCCTCCCGGGTTCAAGTGATTCTCCTGCCTCAGCATCCCGAGTAGCTGGGCTTATAGGTACCCGCCACCATGCCTGGCTAATTTTTGTATTTTTAGTAGAGACAGAGTTTCGCCATGTTGGTTAAGCTGTTCTCAAACTCCTGACCTCAAGTGATCTGCCCACTTTGGCCTCCCAAAGTGCTGGGATTACAGGCATGAGCCACTGCGCTTAGTCCCCACTTCCTTGCTGTGTGACCTTGGGCAGTGACTTGGGCTCTTGCTACCTCAGTTTCTCCATCTGTGATATGGTGATGATAATATTTGTTCTGGCTGGGCGTGGTGACTCACGCCTATAATGCTAGCACTTTGGGAGGCTGAGGTGGGCAGATCACCAGAGGTCAGGAGTTTGAGACCAGCCTGGCCAACATGGTGAAACCTCATCTCTACCAAAAATACAAAAATTGGCCGGGCGTGGTGGCTCACGCCTGTAATCCCAGCACTTTGGGAGGCCAAGGCAGGTGGATCACGAGGTCAACAGATCGAGATCATCCTGGTCAACGTGGTGAAACCCCGTCTCTACTAAAAATACAAAAAATTAGCTGGGCATGGTGGCGCGTGCCTGTAATCCCAGCTACTCAGGAGGCTGAGGCAGGAGAATTGCCTGAACCCAGGAGGCGGAGGTTGCAGTGAGCCGAGATCGCGCCATTGCACTCCAGCCTGGGTAACAAGAGCGAAACTCTGTCTCAAAAAAAAAACCACAAAAATTAGCTGGGCATGATGGCACATGCCTGTAATCCCAGCTACTTGGGAAGTCAAGGCAGGAGAATTGCTTGAACTGGGAAGACAGAGGTTGCAGTGAGCTGAAATCACCCCACTGCACTCCAGCCTGGATGACATAGTGAGACTCTGTCTCAAAAAAAAAAAAATAAGAATAATCATTTGTTTCTATTTCATAGGGCTGTTTCGGGAACAAAATGAGTGAATTATGTAGTATAGTGCCTGTGCACAATCAGAACATGCTAGAAGCTGCGTTGCTATTACTAGTATCATCACGTTGCACTCACAACCGAAGACAGGAGAGTCCGTGCTTGAGATGAGAGCGGGAGCTGAAACTCCAGCCCAGCCCGACCTCTCTCCTCCCCCGCTTACCCTAGAGTCCCAAGAAGTCTCTTGCTTTTAGAGGCTGTGGAGTAATGGCACTATGACACCCAGGGAGAGTCAGGAGACACATGGGCAGCCTGCCCTACAAGGGTAGCAGGCAAAGGCTTCGATGACCAGGATGGGCCAGAGATGCTGGGATGTGCCTGGGTTGGGAACATACAGAGCAAGGCAGAATTCTGGGCCTTTACATCCAGGCGGGGTCCCCAGGGGGAGACTAGTGGGTTTCTGTACAGCCCCGGAGCTAAGGGGACAGGTTTTGGATCCAGACACAAAGGACTTTCTCATTGTCAGGAGTGCCCAAGAAGGGCCAGAGATAGTGAGGGAAAGCGGTGCAAGCCTCAGCCTCCGAGGCATGGAAGCAGGGCCCAAGCCCTAACCTCTGCAGGGCCCCGACCCGTGGTCTGTGATGTCCCTGCTGGGAGAGGTCTCTCTGGAGCAAGGGAACTTTTGGGGAGTTCAGCAGAACCCTGAAATAGAGCCTGGGAGATTCAGAGCGGGAACTCTGGGTGCCTGGCTCACCCCGGTTCCTCTCCACGCCTCTTCAGTTCCCTCCACCGGGAATGGTCCTCCCTCAGAGCTGGGTATTCCCTCCTGCAGGAAGCCCCCCTTACCTGATCGAGGGAGTCGAGAACTCTCTCAGTGGATTAGGGACTCTCCTGTCTGTCCCTTGTGACTACCAAGAAAGCCGGCTTGTGTCCCCAGCACCCACCCTGGGGCTGGCCCCCAGTGGCACTCAATAACTGCTAGAAAGGGGTGGCTGGAGGCAAACCTCTAGCCCTGCAGGGCCCCTGAGAAGTGAAGGTGGAGAGATGGCAGCCCCAGAGCCCTGGGGTTACCTGGCCCCTTCCCATCCCCCAGCCCCCCTCACCTGGAGCACAATGGCTGGCACCGAGAAGATCATGGCTTCGTTGAACACCGGGTTAGGGTCGTCCCTCTTCACAGCTGTCTTCTTTTTGCTCATCTTCCTCCCATCCTGCAGCAGGTACACCTTGACGAAGGGGTCTGTGGGCAGGCGGAGGGGTGAAGGCCAGTGCCACACTCACTTGCCACAGCCCTGCCCAGTCTGACTCCGCCCACCGACTACAAACTCCCCCATTGCTTTGCTGTTGCTGTGACCTCCTGCAGCCCTGCCCTTGGTCCTTGTTGTTTTTCCCATTTCATAGATGAGAAAACTGAGGCTCACACAGCACATCAGGTGATGGGGGGGCTTTATGCTCAGGCAGCTGCCTACAGCCCACGTGCTCCCCTCCTAGGCTGCTCTGGGGATCTCAACAGCCCCACCACTTTCCTTCTATAAATGGCCCAAGTGCAGACGTCAGCCCTGAGTCACCGGGCGCCTGCACAGCACAGCCTGACTCAACCGTGTGCAGGTCTGAAATAACAAGCTGCCGTCTGGCCATCACCTATTGCCCACGGGGTGTCCTTGCTGCACCTGCCTGGAGCTGGCGTCCCCGCCACCCAAGGCTTGCAACTCCCAATAGGTCAGTCTCCCCTAGCCCCTGTCTTCAGTTCCCTAGAATACAGCTGCCTCCACCGTCACTGCTTTGGGAGGGACCAGAGGCTTCTGCAGACCTAAGGAGTCAGGTCCTGCCGGGCCCCCATCCCAAACCCGTGGCCTGGTCCTTGGCTGGAGTCTGGGGTACTGCCCTGTCTCTGAGAACGGAGCCTCCACCGTGAATTCCAGTTCCAGGAAACGATGCTGCCCTTTGTTCCCTGCCCAGTGCTCCCAGCCCTGAGCGCTGCCTTCTGCCATCAGACCCCCCCCCCATCACTCTGACCCCCTTCACTCTGCCCTCCCAGGGGCCCCTGACACCCTCCAGGGATCACGTTTTCCCAGCCAGATTCATCGCCCCCGTCCCACCCCCCATCTACCTGCACGACTCCTGGCTCAGCAAAGCTGAGGGGGCCCTGGCACAGTGTCCCACACTTGCTGGTGCCTCCAGGTGCCCACAGCACAGCAGCTGGCCCACAGCTTCCGCTGAGCGCTGGCCCTTACCTGCTGTGGTCTTGTCATTGGTCCAGATGAGATTCTTGGCCTTAACCACGACCACGGTGAGGCGCTCGGCTGTGGGGAGGTAGCTGAGGGAGAGCAGGATCTCCCCCACAGCGTCGGCAGCCTGGGGGACAGGCGGCGGCTCAGGGGGCTTCTCCCCACTGGACTTGAGGGGTCCAGGGAGAGCCTTGGTTGCCAGGGAAAAGCTGAGGCTTCCTTCTCCATAGAGAAGTGGTTGCACTGGGGGCCCCTTACCACAGGTTCCAGGCTGGCAGGGTTGAGAAAGGGACAGCCACCCACCCCCGACACTGCAGGGAGCATGCCCCATCCCTCCCCGCCTGGGATGGAGGACCAGAGGCAGCCTGTCAAATGTAGCTATCAAATGTAGTTTTGTTCCCTCATTCCAGGCCAAGGAAAACGCTCTGTGGTAGTAATACCCAGCGATCCAAGTGGAATGGAATTAGATCCTCTGCTTAAACAACAGTGATGCTCTGGGTGCATTCGTACAATTATAAAGCTACGCTGCAGCCCGGCCTCTGCCTGAAATCATCCCCTCTGAGGCCGGAGGCACGTTTCTCCAGCAGACGCGGAGTGGAAGAGCCTCCGAAGCTTTGGTGCTAAGAACAGCAAATGAGCTGTGAACAGAGGTCAGGATGTTTTTGTCGTTTGCCTGCAGTAAGCAGTTTCCTCGGATGGGGCTCGGGTCTTCCCTGCTCTCCTAATGATCTTGGGGTTCAGGCAGTTGCAGAGGATGAAGGAGCCCCCTTCCTGGAAGTGTATGTGTGTGCACGCTCTTCCGTGGTGGATGAGCAGGCGGGGGCAGGCAGGTCGCTTACCTTGTTCTGGTCCTGTAAATAGAGCCAGCCACTGAAGGGCTGCAGTGGGAGGTCAAGCACAGAAAGCTTCAGCTCCACCACCCCCGTGCTGACGTTCCGCTCGTCCACGTCAATGCCAAATACAGAAAACCGCAGGCTCTTCTCTTCCAGGGCGGTGGGATCCAGGGGGATGGAGAACTTCTCATCAAAAAAGATGGAGTAGGCATTCCTCTGGATCTGTAAGGACAAAGGGCCGTGGAGGGCGCTAGGAGCCTGAGAGACTGCAGCAGGGACAGAGCACTGGACAGGGAGTCCAGAGGCCTGGGCTAGGGTCCTGGCTCTGTTGTCATGACAGCCTCAATGGTAATCTTTTCTTTGGTGGCTCAGCCCAAAGGTTTAAAAGCCTCCTAGGCCGGGCGTGGTGGCTTACACTTGTAATCCCAGCACTTTGGGAGGCTGAGGCAGGCGGATCACCTGAGGTCAAGAGATTGAGACCATCCTGGCCAACATGGTGAAACCCCATCTCTACCAAAAAAAAAAAAAAAAAAAAAAGCCTCCTGTCCACTTCTCAGTGGTGGCCAACCTAGTGGCCTGGTGTTTGAAGCTCCCACAATCTGGTCCCAGCTAATCCCCGTCCTTGGTGCCCACGGCACCCCAGAGCCCTCAAGATGACCTGGACGAGCCAGTCTCCATCTTGCTTGCATCTGCTGGAGTCTAGCCCTAGGCCAGGCATGCAGTGGAGTGGGACAGTTGTCTGTGGAGTCACGAGCCACTGATGTCCCCGGTTCCTGCAGAGTCTGGCTCAGGACTGTTTGAACACCTTAGGCTGAAGGTGGATGGAAGGGAGAATTAGGCGAGGTTGGGCCGACTCTGTTTCCAAGCCCAGTCCTGCCTGGTGGGCGACACTGGCCTCCTCCCAGGAAGTCGTGGGCAGGTCTCCTGGGTAGGTACATTGCGGGCACTGCTCTCTGGGGAACAAGGGAGATGCTTTAGTCACTGTCTGTCGATATTTAAAGAAAGGCGCTCTCATCCCTGGACTCTACCTGAAGCTGGGGGACTGCCTAGCTTGGAGGCAGCACCCCCTGGTGGGACTGGCCACCAGCCGCCATGACCACATTCTTCTGTCACTGCCTGGGCCTGGGAAGGCTCCTCTCACAGTGCTCCCTGGGAGCCACGGTCCCTACACAATCCCTTGCTCTTGAAGGGCTCCTTGCCCCCAAGGGATAAAGCCTACCTCCTGACCTCCTGACCTCCTGATGTTGGCATTCAGGCTCTTCATGATCTGGCTCCACCTCTCCCTCCTTCAGCTAAATAGCCTCTCAACTGTCCCCTGCCCAGGGGGGACTGGGCCCCCAACCAGCCATTCTCTGAGCATGCACACATGGGTGGAGAAGGATGGAACCCTGGGTTTGAGTCCTGGACTTCCTGCTGCCTTAATGGGGTTGTCTTGGGCAAAGCACTTTCCCGAGCCTCGGTTTCCTCATCTGTAGGATGCCTTAACCATCCATCCTGTTGGCCTCAGGGGCTAATGAGAAAATCATGGATGTGCTGGGCTCTGTGAACCAGTTTCTCAGCACACATCATGCTGTGGTGGCTGCGGTCTGCCAATGTCCCTCCTTGAGGAATGCATCCTGAACCACCCAGAATCCTCTAGGCAGCCCAGGCCACAGGCAACATAGCTGGGCATGACAAAAGCTCTGCACGTTCCTGAGAGCCAACCTGCTGGGCACTGACCGGGGCTGGGCTAAGAACTTCACATGCATTAACCCACCTCTTCCTCAATAACTATGATGCTCATTTAACAGATGGGGAAACTGAGTCATGGGGTACTAAACTGACTTATCCAAGGTCATATTGCTAGGAAGAGGTGGAACCAGGATTTGAACTCAGGCAGTCAGGCTCCATGGTCCTGATCCTAGTCACCCACTGTACTGCCTCTCAGAAGCTGAGCCACCCCAACTTGGTGCCCTAAACATGCCCTCCCTGCACTCTGGCCACAGGCTGTCCCCACCCTTCAGCCCAGATGTGGCTCTGTGGGCTTGGCCCTGTGATTCACAGGGACTGGGTGCCTTCCTTGCCCCTCACACCTTATTCTCTGCCCTTCCCACTCTGCTCTGTCCCTGAGAGTTGACCTCGATGGGCTGTGTCAACAGGTTCCTTTGGCCTTTAGCTTCTGGTGGGGTCACCCAGTGAAGGTCACCAGAGGGAAACCGGGAGGGGAAGCCAGGTCCTTCTCTGCAGGATTGCTGCAGACTGACCATGTTCCTTGACCAAAGGGCACAGCTCCCACCGAGGTAGCCCTCTCCACATGAGGTGGCCCTCTATCCTTTTGGGCCCAGTAACCTCAACTTCCCCTCATCCCTTCAGATCTAGAGTGGGACCTGCCCCTCCTGTTACACCCCTCCTGGGTACTGTGCCATCCCTGAGGTCGCCCCACATCCCACCCTCGGTAGCTCTAAATGGTCGTCACTTTCATTTAAAAAATTTATTTGTTATTTTTGAGGTAGAGTCACTCTGTTGCCCAGGCTGGAGTGCAGTGGCATGATCTCGGCTCGCTGCAACCTCCACCTCCTGAGTTCAAGTGATTCTCCTGCCTCAGCCACCTGAATAGCTTGGGATTACAGGTGTGCACCACCATGCCCAACTAATTTTTGTATTTTCAGTAGAGACAGGGTTTCACTATGTTGAGGTCAGGCTGGTCTTGAACCTGTGACTTCAGGTGATCCACCTGCCTCAGCCTCCCAAAGTGCTGGGCTTACAGGTGTGAGCCACTGCACCCGATCAGTCCTGTTATTAAGCTCTTCACAAATTAGCCATCTTGAGCATGTCATCCCTTTTCTGCTGGAAGCTTATGTTGACACAGGGCAGATGTGGACAGGAACAGCTGCCACACGCTGTATTCACCTGGCAGGAGGGTTAAGAACTCCACACAGGGCCGGGCGCGGTGGCTCACGCCTGTAATCCCAGCACTTTGGGAGGCCGAGGCGGGTGGATCACGAGGTCAAGAGATCGAGACCATCCTGGTCAACATGGTGAAACCCCGTCTCTACTAAAAATACAAAAAATTAGCTGGGCATGGTGGCGCGTGCCTGTAATCCCAGCTACTCAGGAGGCTGAGGCAGGAGAATTGCGTGAACCCAGGAGGCGGAGGTTGCGGTGAGCCGAGATCGCGCCATTGCACTCCAGCCTGGGTAACAAGAGCGAAACTCCGTCTCAAAAAAAAAAAAAAAAAAGAACTCCACACAATGGGAACCTTCGGTTGGAGGCCCCCAGCCTCCCAGGCTCATTCTCCCTACAGTCTGCAGCTTCAGCTCAGGGATCAGCATCCATACCTGCGCTCTAGTGCCTTTCTGGGGTCCTGCCAGGCCCCACAGCCCTGCCTGCCTGGGAGGTGTCTAGTGAGCCCAGAGCACCCTTCAGCCCCGCCCCGAGCCCCACTTACCCGGGAAATGCCCACAATCTGCTCGTCGGGCAGCAGGCTGACGCGCATGAAGCAGGACTCGAAGCTGGCCTCCTCCCGCTCCAGGAGGTCCTTGCCCTGCAGCACCGCCACGTGCAGGGTGTGGGAGGCGGCGTCGTAGTCCATGCTCACCTCCACCTGGCCCAGTGTGAAATCCTGCCCAAAGGTGTTGCTCACGGAGGAGATGGAGTTCAGGGAGTCAGCCGACTGGGACTTCCGGAGGGTCCCGTACGGCGCCAGGTCCAGCTCCCGGCCCATCAGCTCCAGGGGCCCCAGTTCACTGATGCTCTCGAAGGTGTCCTCCATGCTGAGGCTGCCTTTACGGCTGGGTGTTCCCCGCATGCTGCCCCGCTGGGTATTCCAGGCAGGCACTCTCTAGGGGTGAGAAAGAGGGATGTGGGAGCATCACGGGGCCACAGGCGAGGTCACAAGGAGACCGCACAGAGAGATGAGTAAGTTCATTCACGGATCTCCAAGTCCCCCTTTCACAGAAGCCCTGTATCCCTTAGTTAGGAAGGTCCTTGTTTAATATTACCTCATGTCACTTATTTTTCTTGCCTTAACCAAGATGTAAGAAAGCTTTTTCTGTTGCTTGTTCTTTTTTTTTTTTTTTTTTTTTTTTTTTTTTTTGAGATGGAGTCTCACTCTGTCACCCAGGCTGGAGCATAGCGGCACAATCTCGGCTCACTGCAACCTCCACCTCCCAGGTTCAAGCAATTCTCCTGTCTCAGCCTCCTGAGAAGCTGGGATTACAGGCATGCACCACCACGCCTGGCTACTTTTTGTATTTTTAGTAGAAATAGGGTTTTGCCAGGGTGTGGTAATGCACATGCCTGGAATGTTGGCCAGGCTACTCTCAAACTCCCAGGCTCAAGACAGTCCTCCCATCCCGGCCTCCCAAAGTGCTGAGGCTGCAGACGTGAGCCACTGTGTCCTGCCAACTTTTTCTTAATATGTTTATTTGTAGGGTCAGAATTCCATACATCAAGCTGTCGACTGCAGTGATGTTTAGAAAAAGGAAAAGCAGGTCGGCTCACGCCTGTGATCCCAGCACTTTAGGAGGCTGAGGCCAATGGATTATAAGGTCAGGAGATACAGACCATCCTGGCCAACATGGTGAAACCCCATCTCTACTAAAAATACAAATATTAGCTGGATGTGGTGGCGTGCGCCTGTAATCCCAGCTACTTGGGAGGCTGAGGCATGAGAATCGCTTGAACCCAGAAGGCAGAGGTTGCAGTGAGCAAAGATCGCATCACTGTAATCCAGCCTGGTGACAGAGTGATACTCCATCTCAAAAAAAGGAAAAGCAGCTAGCAATAAGTGTCCCAGAAGAAGGGGTAAGAATATGAGGAGCCAGCCACTCAAGAGGTGATATAGCAGCTGCGAGGGAAGTTTACAACACAGGAAGTTTTCACGTTCAGTGACACTCACTCACATATTTAAATTCTTTTTCCCTCAGTCAGGCATGGTGGCTAAGGCCTGTAATCCCAGCACTATGGGAGGCTGAGGAGGTTGAGCACCTGAGGTCAGGAGTTCAAAACCAACCTGGCCAACATGGTAAAACTCCATCTCTACTAAAAACACAGAAATAGCTGGGCATGGTGGTATGCACCTGTAATCTCAGCTACTTAGGAGGCAGAGGCAGGAGAATTGCTTGAACTTGGGAAGCAGAGGTTGCAGTGAGCCAAGACTGAGCCACTGCACTCCAGCCTGGGCAACACAGCAAGATTCTATCTCAATAATAAATAAATAAATAAATATTTTTGAGACAGAGTCTCATTTCCATTGCCAGGCGCCAGGCTGGAGTGCAGTGGTGCAATCTCAGCTCACTGCAACCTCCGCCTCCCGGGTTCAAGCAATCCTCCTGCCTCAGCCTCCCGAGTAGCTGGGACTACATGTGTGTGCCACCACGTCCAGCTAATTTTTGTATTTTTAGTAGAGAGGGGATTTCACCATGCTGGTCAGGATGGTTTCGATCTCTTGACCTCATGATCTGCCTGTCTCGGCCTCCCAAAGTGGTGGGATTACAGGCATGAGCCACTGCGCCTGGCCAAAATTTTTTTTTTTAAGATGGAGTCTCGCTCTGTTGCCCAGGCTGGAGTGCAATGGCACAATCTTGGTTCACTGCAACTTCCACCTCCCTGGTTCAAGCAATTCTCCTGCCTCAGCCTCCTAAGTAGCTGAGATTACAGGTGCATGCCACCATGCCCAGCTATTTCTGTGTTTTTAGTAGAGATGGATTACAGGCTCACGCCACCATGCCTGGCTAAGTTTTGTATTTTTAGTAGAGATGAGGTTTCACCATGTTGGTCAGGCTGGTCTCGAACTCTTGATCCTGATCTGCCTGTCTTGATCTCCCAAAGGGCTGGGATTGATTACAGCCTTGAGCCACTGTGCGTGGCAATTTTTTATTTTCCCTAATTGACCTTGAGATTTGAGAAAGCAAGGCTTTTATACCATAAGCATCTTCTATGCTTTCATTATCATATATATATTTTTTGAGACAGGGCCTCATTTGCCCAGGGTAGAGTGCAGTGTTGCAATCACAGCTCACTGCAGCCTCAACCTTCTGGGTCCAATCAATTCTCCCACCTCACTCTCCCAAGTGGCTGGGACCACAGGGGTGAGCTACTACACCTGGCTAATTTTTTGATTTTTTAACTTTTTTTTTTTTAATAGAGACAAGGACTTGCTTTGTTGTCCAGGCTGGTCTCTAACTCCTGGGCTCAAGCGATCCTCTTGCCTTGGCTGCCCAAAGTGCTGGAATTACAGGCATGAGCCACTGCGCCTGGCCACTTACCATAATCTTTCATGGTTCCCCAATCTTCCACTGAGCAGATAATCATAATTTACTTCATTCTTCCTCACTGTTGGACATTTACGTTGTTTCTACTTTTTCAGAAATACAAATACTCAGTATTGAATAGCTTTCTTAAAATCCCAGCTCCACCACACGCAGCGGCTCATGCCTGTAATCCCAGCACTTTGGGAGGCAGTGGCAGGCAGATCGCCTGAGCTCGGGAGTTTGAAACCAACTGACCAACACGAAGAAACCCTACAAAATTAGCTGGGTGTGGTGGTGGGCATCTGTAATCCCAGCTACTCAGGAGGCTGAGGCAGGAGATCTCTTGAACCCGGGAGGCAGAGGCTGTGGTGAGCCTAGATGGCGCCATTGTACTCGAGCCTGGCCAACAAGAGCAAATCTCCGTCTCAAAATAAATACATAAATAAAAATAAAAACAATTTTTAAAAATCCTGGCCCAAAGGACACACTCCTTTGAAGGTTTTTTGTTTTTGTTTTGGATGGAGTCTCACTCTGTTGCCCAGGCTGGAGTACATTGGCATGATCTTGGTTCACTGCAACCAAGGGTTCTGCCTCCCAGGTTCAAGCAATTCTTGTATCTCAGCCTCCTGAGTAGCTGGGATTACAGGTGCCCGCCACCACATCCAGCAAATTTTAATATTTTTTAAAGTAGAGACAGGGTTTTTCCATGTTGGCCAGGCTGGTTTTGAACTCCTGACCTCAAACCATCCACCTGCCTCAGCCTCCCCAAACGGATTACAGTTGTGAGCCACCACCGTGCCCAGTTAGTTCTTTGAAGGCTTTGACACGTGTTGCCAAAATGCTCTTTGGAAAAGTGGGGATTTTTTGAGACAGAGTCTCACTCTGTCACCCAGGCTAGAGTGCGGTGGCATGATCTTGGCTCACTGCAACCTCTGCCTCCCAGTTTTAAGTGATTCTCATGCCTCGGCCTCCTGAGTAGCTAGGGTTACAGGCATGTGCCACCATACTTGGCTAATTTTTGTATTTTTAGTAGAGACAGGGTTTCACCATGTTGGCCAGGCTGGTCTTGAACTCCTGCCCTCAGGTGATCCACCCACCTCGGCCTCCCAAAATGCTGGGATTACAGACCTCAGCCACCGTGCCAGGCCTGGAAAAGTTTTTTTTAAATGTACACTCCTCCAACAGCGTGTGAGATAGTCCCCGCAGACACCCTAAGTGACTGAGCAAGAGGGACTCTCATCTGGTAACAGATTCTGGTTGTGCTGTCTGGAACTCTACATGATACTCAGAAAATTCTCTGCCATGTGTTAAATGATAAAACATTCAGCAACATATAGTGAGGGCCCTAAGAATGCCTGTGCCCCAGTACAGCAGTTCCGCATCTGGACATCCCTTCAAAGCACACTATCCCAAATGAAGACCAAGTTTTATGTACAGAATCTCCACTGCATCATTTATCATGACATTTAGTCAATCATGGCATATGCCAAAAAGGAATCTCATGCAGCCATTAAAATGATGTTTACAATGTGTGTTCAGCAGTATATGAAAATGCTTCAGCTACAAGGCAGGGGAAAAGGGAAAGACCAGGTAGGGTGGTGCAGGCCTGTAATCCTAGTACTTTGGGAAGCTGAGACAGGCAGATCTCTTGAGTCCAGGAGTTCAAGGCCAGCCTGGACAATATGGTGAAACCCTGTCTCTACAAAAAATACAAAAAATTAGCTGGGCGTGGTGGCTTGGGCCTGTAGTCCCAGCTACTTGGTAAGCTTAAGTGTGAGGACTGCTTGAGCCCAGGAGGTGTAGGTTGCAGTGAACTGAGACTGTACCACGGCACTCCAGTCTGGGCAAGTGAGACCTTGTGTCGAAAAAAAAAAAGAAGAAATAGGGGCCGGGCGCGGTGGCTCACGCCTGTAATCCCAGCACTTTGGGAGGCCGAGGCGGGTGGATCACAAGGTCAAGAGATCGAGACCATCCTGGTCAACGTGGTGAAACCCCATCTATACTAAAAATACAAAAAAATTAGCTGGGCATGGTGGCGCGTGCCTGTAATCCCAGCTACTCAGGAGGCTGAGGCAGGAGAATTGCCTGAACCCAGGAGGCGGAGGTTGCGGTGAGCCGAGATCGTGCCATTGCACTCCAGCCTGGGTAACAAGAGCGAAACTCCGTCTCAAAAAAAAAAAAAAAGAAGAAATAAATATATTAGGTTACTCTGGACACACTGCCTATGGGGTACCCCTGCTCTACAAGGAGCATATTAAAGAAAAAAAAAAGGCTGGTCTCAGGGGCTCATATCTATAACCCCAGCACTTTGGGAGGTTGAGGTAGGTGGATCACCTGAGGTCAGGAATTTGACACCAGCCTGACCAACATGGTGAAACCTTGTTGCTTTCTACTAAAAATACAAAGTTAGCCAGGCATGGTGGTGCACACCTGTAATCCCAGCTACTTGGGAGGCTGAGGCAAGAGAATCACTTGAACCTGGGAGGCAGAGTTTGCAGTGAGCCAAGATCATGCCATGGCATCCAGCCTGGGCAACAAGAGGGAAACTACATCTCAAAAAAAAAAAGGAAGGCTGGGCGCGGTGGCTCAAGCCTGTAATCCCAGCACTTTGGGAGGCCGAGGCGGGTGGATCACGAGGTCGAGAGATCGAGACCAACCTGGTCAACAGGGTGAAACCCCGTCTCTACTAAAAATACAAAAAATTAGCTGGGCATGGTGGCGCGTGCCTGTAATCCCAGCTATTCAGGAGGCTGAGGCAGGAGAATTGCCTGAACCCAGGAGGCAGAGGTTGCGGTGAGCCGAGATCGCGCCATTGCACTCCAGCCTGGGTAACAAGAGCGAAACTCCGTCTCAAAAAAAAAAAAAAAAATGCAGAGGAAAAGAGACCAAAAAAAAAAAAGAAAAAAAGTTTAAAAAAGGAGTTGAAGATGTGAAAGGGATGAGAGAGGGGTACTCCCCATTCAAAGGACATGAACCAGGAGGCGGTGATGGAGGGAGACGAGCTGAAGACTGATCTGATGGTTTGGGGGCATGTGGGGGTGTACTCGCTGTGCACCTGCGGGATCAGAAGCCTCACCTTCTGCCTGGCCTCTGCGTTGCTCTCGCCGTACTTCTGCTGGAGGTACCTGTAGTCGTAATTGGGAAACGGAGAGGGGCTGGGGAAGCTCCCCGACGTCCAGAGCTTCCACAGGCTCACAGCGGCGATTCCCAGCAGGGCCAGGGCCCCTGCAGCATAGACACCCACCTCCCAGCCAGGGGGGCTCTTGATGACTGCAAGGCAAGTGCAGCCTCTCATTAGGGCTTCCTAGTGGAGACAGACACCCAGCCGGGGAGCAGCACTGACTTATTCATTGAATGGATGTTTATTGAACGCCTACTACGTACTAGGTGCTGCAGATCCCATGTCGAACAAGACATATACTTTCCTGTGTGGCTTGGGACCACAGGCGCTTTCAATTTCAGATTTTTTCTGATTTGGGGATATTTGCAGTACACTTACAGGTTGAGCATTCCTAATGCCAAAATCTGAAATCCAAAATGCTCCCACGGACATTTCCTTTCAGCACCACGTCAGCCCTCAAAAAAATTCAGATCTGCCGGGCGCGGTGGCTCAAGCCTGTAATCCCAGCACTTTGGGAAGCCGAGGCGGGTGGATCACAAGGTCAAGAGATTGAGACCATCCTGGTCAACATGGTGAAACCCCGTTTCTACTAAAAATACAAAAAAAATTAGCTGGGCACGGTGGCGCGTGCCTGTAATCCCAGCTACTCAGGAGGCTGAGGCAGGAGAATTGCCTGAACCCAGGAGGCGGAGGTTGCGGTGAGCCGAGATCGCGCCATTGCACTCCAGCCTGGGTGACAAGAGCGAAACTCCGTCTCAAAAAAAAAAAAAAAAAAAAAATTCAGATTTTGGATTTTGGGTTTTTGGATTTAGGATGCTTATCCTGTGTATGTAATATCCAGAACAGGCAAATCTATATAGACAGAATTGACGCCAGTCTGTACAGTAGATTAGTGACTGTCAGGGCTGGAAAGTTGGGAGAAATAGGGTTTCTTTGGGGGATGATGAGAATATTCTAAAAAGGGATTGTGTGGCTGGTTGCGCAATATACTAAAAACTACTGAAAAAAAAAAACTACTGAATTGTACACTTTAAGTGGGTAAATTATTTGGTATGTGATTCTTATCTCTCTGTGAATCTCTTACCAAAACAAACAAACAACTCAGCCAGAAGTGAGAGGTGGCTGCAGGCAGTGCAGGGCTTGGAGACAAATCCAGATGCTCAGATGCTTTTGCTCTGCCGATGAGTCAACAACCTTCCCTCTCTGAGCCTCGATGCCCCAGAAAACGGAAATTAACAACCTGCTCAACTGTGGCAGGCGCGTCCTCCCCTAGCACCGTGCTTGGCACGCGGCAGGACCACACACGTTCCAAGGTTTTGCCTTTCTCTCCTAGGAAACCTGGCTCTGCTTCCCCAAAGGAAGCCAAGGAGACACTGAGATTCATTCTGCAGGTCACGGTGCTGGCAAATACTGTTCTCTAAACTGTTCTTAGTACTGCGTCTGTCTCAATTCCAGTGAGGAAACTGAGGCACAGAAAAGCTAAAGAACTTGCCCAAGGTCACAGAGCCCAGAAGGGGTGGTGCTGGGACTCCAACTCTGGCAGCCAGACCCCAGAGCAAGTGGGGTAACCACTGCCACACACGGCCTCGACCCCGCATAGTTCCTTGGCAGCAAGGTGGGGAAAGGTGCGAAGGGCATCTCAGCGCTGGGATATTGATCACTGCACATCATCAAGCACCCACCCTGGTGCGCCAGCAGCCTATGGGCACGGGTAGCCAGGGCTGAGTCAGCCCCGGCCCAGTCCCTGTCCTTAAGTAGCTCGAAGTCTAGAGGGTGGGGTGGGGCAGGCAAATAAATAGACAAGTCAGCATACTAGGAATGGGAGCAGCCCGGGAAGGCTTCCCGGAGGAGAGACATGTACGCTGAGATATCATGAGGGGCAAGAAGTGTGCCAGGCCACGCCAACAGGAGCTGGAAGTCAAGGTCGGGAAGAACAGAGGGGTATAAAAAGCCCAGAGTGGGCAGAGTGCCCTGGGAAGGGAGGGAGGGGACCTGAGGGTTCCTGACCACTGCTGCCCTGAAGCCCAGCTGCACAGAGAGGAATCACGCAGTGGGGCAGCCCCTCTAGCCTGCCCTGCTCTCTTCTGAGTCAGCCACCTGAGCCAGAATCCACAGCACTAACTCACTGGCCTCCAATCCTGACCCCCTCCCAGCATTGAGCACCCTGTGAGGCCCTATTTTCTAAAAGAGGAAAACTGAGACCAAGGGCGGGTAGCGGGCACATCTGTTTCTCCACTCAAGGCCAGTGTGAGAAACGGCAGAGCCAGGCGCAGGTGCCCTGGCTTCCAGGCAAGTCACCCAGCACCTCTGGGCTTCAGTCTCCATCTGGAAAATCCAGATGACAAGAGCATCCCCCATCCAGCGGTCCCACTCTGGTGAATTTATCCTAAAGGGAAAATCCCGACAAGTTTTATGTCTGGGATGAGTCATCGAGGCTGGATTTATAACGGCAGAAATCCGGAAACAGCCTGAAGGTCCCACCGAGGGGGCCAGTGAGGGCTGGTGGCGCTGTCTTGGGAGGAAATGTCACTGGCCTTGGAGAATCACAATTGAGGTCATTAGCATGGCACTGTGACAATGCAAAGAAACATTTCTGGCATTGTTAAAAGAGGAAAAAAAATGAATCCCCAACATGGTGTAACCACGCGCTTGTGATGTATGTAAAAGTCACGAAGCACATAGTCACCGGCTGGGCAGAGCAGGGAAAAACAGAAGGAAAAGGTAACGACAACGGAGGGACTGTGAACACACCCTCCTTCCTTCTGCCTGCTCCTGTTAACAGAGTGTCATCTGCGCGCCAAATACACCCATAACAAAGAGGTCCATGGAGGCTCCCAGGCCCTGACTGGCAGGGCTTGGTGCATTCTGGGGAACAGGGTCACGGCAGGGTTGGGTGGTAGCCGGGGGTTGGCCAGAGGGCAGGACCAGAGGCCCAAGGTCTCTGAGCAGCCTGTGGGCACAGAGGACATTCAGGGTCCCCTGCGTCTGAGGCTCTTGGGAGCTGAAGGATGGGGCCCATGCCCCGGGTGGCAGAAAAGGGGGTAGGTCTGGGGGCCCAGAAGGAAAAGCCCCAGGAAGGTGGCATGAAATGACAGTTTGTGTTCATTTATTTATTGATTTGCTGGAACACCAGCCTTGGGGTGATATGGGGAGTGAGGTCTAGGCTAAGACTGGAAGTGAGGGGAGGAGGAGGAGGAAAAGCTCCCCTCCGAAGCACTTCCTGGCTATGATTTGCCAGGCCCTGTTCTTTTTTTTTTTTTTTTTTTTTTTTTGAGACGGGGTTTCGCTCTTGTTACCCAGGCTGGAGTGCAATGGCGCGATCTCGGCTCACCGCAACCTCCGCCTCCTGGGTTCAGGCAATTCTCCTGCCTCAGCCTCCTGAGTAGCTGGGATTACAGGCACGCACCACCATGCCCAGCTATTTTTTTTGTATTTTAGTAGAGACGGGGTTTCACCATGTTGACCAAGATGGTCTCGATCTCTTGACCTCGTGATCCACCCGCCTCGGCCTCCCAAAGTGCTGGGATTACAGGCTTGAGCCACCGCGCCCGGCTTGCCAGGCCCTGTTCTAAGCAGGTCGCTTGAGTCCTCAAGACAGTCGTGTGAGGTTGGTTCCATTGCTTTCTCCATTTTACAGATGGGGAAGTGAGGGACGGAGGAGAGACCTGTTGCCCCTGCAGACGGGGTCCACATCTGCACCTGCAACCCCGACGGCAGGCCCCGGGACTCAGGCCGGCAGAGGCAGAGGCCGGGAAGAGCTCCAGGCTGGGGGAACAGCTTGTGCAAAGCCCTGGTGTTGTGAGAGTGGTGTCTGCTCACGAAATCTGCCCAGTAGCCCTGAGGTGGCCTCACTGTCTGCATTTACAGATGAGTAAGTAGAAGTTCAGATTTTACCACCTGCCCAAGGCCATGGTGGCGGGGGGACTGGCGGGGGTGTATGGGCAAGACTTGTGAGCCCGTGGGTGAAAAGTGAGGCTCCCTGGCTTGGGGATGGGAAAGGTGATCCTGGGCACACCCTTCAGATCGGGCCTGGGCTTCCCAGGGGCTCTGCTAGGGCTGGAGCTGGAGTGATGGGGAGCACGGGCCCGGGAGACCTGAGTTCACATCCTGACCCCGTTACTCACTGTCCCTTTCCCTTTCTGAGCCTCACTTCTCTCGTCTTTGAATGGGGAGAGGAACAAAGAGAGAAAAGACGCCTGGTATTTTCGGCTCTGACCCCATCCGCCATCCATGGGGAGGCTACGGGGGTATGTCTGGAGTCTTGAGGCCATCTCTCAGCCATCTTCCATCTCCCTGCTGGGGCACAGGGTGAAAGGGCGGGAGCCATGGCCATGGACTGGGTGGTCTCTCTCTCTCTCTCTGTCTCTCTTTTAATGAGACAGAGTTTCACTCTGCTGCCCAGGCTGGAAAGCTGGAGTGCAGTGGTGTGAACTCAGCTCACTGCAGCCTCTGCCTTGGACTGGGTGGCCTCTGAGTTTAATGCCCCATGAATCTAACATTGACTGTCCTAAGTTTATTTTCCCTTGGGGACTTGACAGGCTCCACCAAAGGCCCCAGTAAGTGGATTCTGAGTCACAGGCTCATCCCCAGGGTGCAGCAGGACCAGGGTCTCCCTGGGCACCCTCTCAAGTGAAAGAAAGTCACTTTAACAGGAAGGAGCCACTTGAGTGGCACGATGATGAGACCTCAGATTGAGCCAAGCTTGATGTCCCCAGGGCTGTCTGATGTTGGGCAAATCACTGACTGTCCTTTCGAGTGAAGGCATTAATGGCAAGGACAGTCAGGAATAAGGGCAGCGTTCTTGCCATTATTCATGTCCCACGGACAGCTCCCACCCCAGGCCTGGTGCAAGGGCCCCGCAGGCATGATCCAGGAGGGGCTTGCCCTGGGGACTCACCGCTCAGATGGTATTCTGCCACATCCACGGCCATGATGCCTGCTGCGGTGCCTATGACTGGAAGGGAAGAGAGAGTGAGCGGAGAGGACTGTGGAGGGTCAGCACTCTGCCCCTAGGTCCCAGCCCCCACCTCCCCCGCACCCGTGTGCCTGTCATCCAGAGCGTATGCTCAGCTGTAAGGGGACAGCCACCAAAGGGAGGCTTGGCATTTTAAGAAATGGTGTTTAAAGCTCTTTTCAAACATTCTAAGACTCTTTTCAGGATTGCCAGATAAAACAGGATGCCCTGGCATGTGAATTTCAGATTTTGTTTTGTTTTTTTTAGATGGAGTCTCACTCTGTCTCCCAGGCTAGAGTGCAGTGGCACAATCTTGGCTCACTGCAGCCTCTGCCTTCTGGGTTCAAGTGATCTCCTGCCTCAGCTCCCAAGTAGCTGGGATGGCAGGTGTGTGCCACCACACCTGGCTAATTTTAATATTTTTAGTAGAGATGGGGTTTCACCGCATTGGCCAGCCTGGTCTCAAACTCCTGACCTCAGGTGATCCACCAATCACAGTCTCCCAAAGTGCTGAGATTACAGGCACGAGCCACCATGCCCAGCCAAATTTCAGATAAGTTTTTAATATGTGTGTCTCAAATATTCCATAGGTCATACTTACACCAAAACCTTTTCCGTTGTTCATCTGAAGCTTCAATGCTCCTGGACGTCCTGTTTCTGTATTTGCCAAATCTGGCAACCCCAGCTCATTTCCATCCTAACAACACCATGTGACCAGCAGAGACTGGGTAGGTGACTCGTTAGAGCAAGGCCTCAGGCTTGAGCCTCCCTTCAAATATTTCCATTTTGACTGGGAAGGAATGGCTGTGTCTCTGCAATCTTTCACTGCCTGGCATGGTTTCTTCCCCACCCCACCCTCCACCCCCAGGTTTTAGGAACCACTGAGGCCTAAGTTATTCTAAAAAGGTCTGGGAGCTCATACGAGCCACTACCTGAACCTAGGTGACTGTTCACTGTTTTATTATTATTGCTAAGAAGTAAATCTGGCTCACAGATGTGTTCTAAATGTGTGTGTGGGTGTGTGGAGTCTTGGAAACGGGAAACTGGGATGGGGGGTACTGATCTCAGGTCAAGGGCACAGAGGGCCAGGAGAATGCCCACCCCAACCTCCCACTTCCCTTATAGTTCAGAGAGGTGGTTCCACACAGTGAGCCTGCAGGCCTGGTGCAGGGTGGTAGGGTGAGGGGAGGGTGAAGTAGGAACTGCAGAGCTACGGCCTGGCCCAGGGGCAGCTGCATTTCTGCGCCAGCAGGAACAACAACCACATGGCTTTATCTTCTGGCACTTTAGAGAAAAGCCAGACATCTGAAGTTTTTATATGCAGTTTCCTGAGCTTTAAAGGTAGCAACCAATTTGCAAAAAATGCAAACACCAGCCAGGTGCGGTGACTCAAGCCTGTAATCCTAGCACTTTGGGAGGCCGAGGTGGGTGGATCATGAGGTCAGGAGATCAAGATCATCCTGGCCAACATGGTGAAACCCGTCTCTGCTAAAAATACAAAAATTAGCTGGGCGTGGTGGCTCGTGCCTGTAATCCCAGCTACTCTGGAGGCTGAGGCAGGAGAATCACTTTGAACTAGGGAGTCGGAGGTTGCAGTGAGCTGAGATGATGCCATTTCACTCCAACCTGGCTACAGAGAAAGACACCATCTCAAAAAAAAAAAAAAAAAAAATTAAAAAATGCAAACACCATTCAGGCACAGTATAAAATGTCCTCAGGCAGTGTGACCTACCAGTTCCCAACCCCTTGGAGCATCTTGTAGACCCCTTTGGGACTGGGGTCAAATCAGAGGGTAAAGCTAAGGCCCTCAATGTTTTCAGGAAGCCCAGAGTTCTCCCCAGTCTGAGGCTTTGGAGTCAAGTAGCTGGGGTGCCATGCTCCCATCAGGGTTATCCAGCACATTTGGGGGTGCCATAAGTCCTAGTCCATCCCCATAAGTCCTGGGGGTGCCCAGGAGCCTCGAGAAGCAGGTCAGGTAAGGTGCGCAGCCAGCTCCTGGCTCCCAGCGATGCTGCCCCCACTCCCGCAAGGAGCTGTGCGTTGTTATGGTGATGGAAGGGCGGTGCTAAGCCAGGAAGGGCTTTGCCCATCTGACTAGAGTGAAAGCTCATTCCTGGGCCTGGGCTGGAGATCATGATAGGAATAGGCAATCTTGCCGAGCATTTCCTTACAGCAAGTGCAGTTCTAAGCACTTTGCATGTATCCGACCTCATTTAATCCTCCTAACAGCCCCAGGAGATAGGTACAATTATTATCTCTGGTTTGCAGGTGAGAGCCCCAGGGCGTAATTTACCCCAGGCCACACAGCTAATAACCTGTTCAACCCAGGCCATCTGGCTCCATAAAAAGTTTCCTAAGAATCTGCAGGTCAAATGGGTCACCATGTACCTGTCCAAAGTGGCTCTAGCTCCTGGCGGAAGCTGGTCTAGATACGCTGAAACACATGCTAACGTACACACACGCACTTCCCAGCCCGCTTCTGCCCTGCCGGGAATCAGAGAAGCCATCAGCTTTTTCCTGCTTACCTGGCACAAGCTGACTTTGCAAGAGTGATGAGGCCAAGCTGGGACAGCCAGTGCCAACAGCACGCAAGCAAGGTATGCATGGCAAGGTATACCCCACAGCGCGATAGGCGGGCACAGACAAAACCTCAAACTGCATCAGGCCTCTGGCTGTCAGGGGGCCCATCCCCTCCACGGCTGGTCCAGCTCAGACCCCAGACTCCCATACTGTCTGTTCTTTCCTCTCTCTTTAACACAGCATCTTTTCCCAGGGAGCTGAAATTTCAGTCCAGGTGTGAATGACTGCTAGGCACACCCCAGACAGAAGTTCCCCTTTTTTTTTTTTTTTTTTTTTTTGAGACAATCTCACTCTATCAACCAGGCTGGAGTGCAGTGATGCAATCTCGGCTCACTGCAACTTCTGCCTCCTGGGTTCAAGCGATTCTCCTGCCTCAGCTTCCCAAGTAGCTGAGATGACGCGTGTGCCACCACGCCCGGCTAATTTTTGTATTTTGGTAGAGATGTGGTTTTGGCATGCTGGCCAGGCTGGTCTTGAACTCCTGACCTCGTGATCCTCCCGCCTTGGTCTCCCAAAGTGCTGGGATTACAGGCGTGAACCACCGCCTATGGCCACCAGACAGTTCCAGTCTGGTACCCGGTGAAGGCAGAGTTTACTTGCTTGAGTGGAGGGAGAAGAGAACTGGGGGAGATGCCGAGGCTCCTAGAGGGGCTCCGCCTGAGCACAGGGTTTGTAGTCAGCTGCACTCAGCTCTGAATCCCAGATCTGCCCCTGGCTAGCTGCAGTGGCCTTGGGCAATTTTCTTAGTCTCTCAGAACCTCAGTTCCCCATCTGTAAAGCAGATGTGAGGTTGCCAGGAGGGTGGAATAAGTTAAGTGTAGTCGGGGTTGGCATATATCGGTTGCTGTGGTTAGCGGCCTAGTGATGGTCCACACAGGTGCCCTGTCCCCTAGTCTGGGCAGTGTGGGCAGCACTGCCAGCCTACAGATGTGTTTTATTTGCCTTACATTTAGGTGAGTTGTCAACATTTTAAAATGGAAAAATGTAGCTGGGTGTAGTGGGTCGAAGCTGCGTCCCAGCTGCTGGGGAGGCTGATGTGGAAGGATCTCTTGAGCCCACGAGTTCAAAACCAGCCTGGACAACATAGTGAGACTGTGCCTCAAAAATAAAGCCTGGGGTGGGGGCGATTTCCCACTAAAAATGGATTTTAAAAGGATTTCCAGCTTCCTTTTGAAAGTTAGAAGATCTGGGGACAATGGCTTTGCATCCCCCCACTCCAGCAGGAGTAGGAGCTAAGTCGGCTCTGCTCCTTCCCCACTGCTCCCACACTTCCATTCACGGCCAGAACTTGTTGGGCCCCAGAAGCACCCCTGCTCCTAAGTCTGGTAAGGTGGACTTTGAATGAGCTACGAGACTTTTTTCTGTTTTGTTTTGTTTTTAATTAATTTATTTTTTTGAGATGGAGTTTCGCTCTTTTGCCCAGGCTGGAGTGAAGTGGCACAATCTCGTCTCACTGCAACCTCTGATTCCCAGGTTCAAGTGATTCTCCTGCTTCAGCCTCCTGAGTAGCTGGGATGACAGACGTGTGCCACCGCGACAGGCTAATTTTTGTATTTTTAGTATAGACAGTGTTTCACGACGTTGGCCAGGCTGGTCTTGAACTCCTGACCTCAGGTGATCCACCTGCCTTGGGCTCCCAAATTGCTAGGATTACAGACGTGCGCCACCATGCCCAGCCAAGCTGGGAGATTAAGAGAGGTTAAGTGACTTGCCCAAACCCACACAGCCAGCAGTGGTAGAGCTGGGCCTGGCAGCCATTCCTGCTGCCCAGTCCAGCCCCTCTTCCATTAGCAATGAAGTCTCATGCCATCTTCCCTATCACCTGTAAGACCTATAGGGCAAATCCCGTTACTACCCCCACTCCACTGAGGAGAGGGAGGCTCAGAGAAGGGCAGTGAATTGGCCCAAGGTCACCCAACCAGTGAGCAGGAAGCTGAGACCAAGCTGCACGTGCTGGCAGCAGGTGCAGTTCTCAATGGCTTTGCTCAATGCCCCCAAGACCCCCTGACTCCGCGTCACCTGGGATGGCCTCAGTGGGTTCCCGCTGGCAGCCTGAAGGTCTGCCAGGCAAAGGGACTGTGGCTTCCGATAGAAGAGTATGGCGACGAGGTACAGCGAGACCAGGGCAGCCTGTGACCAGAGCATCCCCCGTGTCCAGACACACAGCAAAGAGCATAACATGGGGGCCAGAGTGCTCCAGACCCTCGCTGAGCTCCTGGACTGCACATGGCCTCCTGCAGCTCCTCCCCTGCAATCCGACCAGTTCTTCAGTCCCAAACCCCCAGACCCGAAACTGCACAGAGCTTACTCATTGAAAACAGCTCTAGGCTCCAACTTCAGCTCGATCATACCTACCTAGCAATATCTCCTTACTGCTGCATGCATGTGGGCATAAGGTGTGCTAAATGCTTCGCACTCTGCCTGGTTGTCGTAGGTACACGGTGTGGACCTGGTGATTCAATGGATTAATGGATTCCCCTTTTACAGATGAGGAAGCTGGGGTCCCAGGTCACCTCGCATAAGAGTAGCAACACTGGGATTGGTGCCAGGGTGCAATGGATCTGGGCCTGGGCTCTTGGCCACCATGCTGACTCCTGACCAGGCAGACCTACCTTTTGGGGGTGGGGGTGGGAAGAGCCCCCGCTCCCCCTGGCTTCGCTGGAATCAGACCATGGCAGGGGCCCCCTCCTGGGCTTGTCAGAGAAATGGCTTTCCAAGAAAGCTGTGCCTCAGCAGGGGAAAGGGACCTTCTGTCCCTGTCCTCTGCTCTACCCACCCCCTTTGCCCAGTGTCCTCACATCATTCTCTGGCTAGCGAGGCGAAGGGATGGATCGGGAGAGCCTCACCCTTCAGGCTGTGAGCCGCTTCAGGATCTGGAGGTTGAAACCTTTTCAAGTCCCCTCCTCCGCTTTCTGAGATGACCGAATCCAGCTCCCACCCCCCAAACAGCCCACAGAAACCACAGCACAGGCTGGCTGGGAGGTGCTGGCTGGCATTTCTTGGGCACCTACTATGTGACTTGTGTTATCTCAGTACCTCAGCCCTCCGAGGGGGCTGCTACCCTGCTCCTTGTACTGGAGAGGAAACTGAGGCACAGGAAATGACTTGCCCAGTCACCGGAGCTGACAAGTGTTAGAGTCCGGGTCTGATACCCAGGCTGGGAGCCCCTGCTCTGCAGGGCTGCTGAGGAAAGCTTTCAGAATTCAGAATGGGGAGGCCGGGGGCTTGGGGACTTGTCCTGATCCTTCTTCACACTGGCTGTGATAACTTGGGTGGGTCTCCTGCCCTCTCTGAGCCTCTGTTTCCCCATTTCTAATAGGAAGCACTAGTACTGCTTTCACCCCCTGAAAAAACTGTCACCCCCTAATGGGGGAAGGAGCTGACATTCCATGGTGCAGCTTTTCCAGGCTTTTGAGAATGGAGGAGAGCGGCACACAGTCTCTCTGCAGCCCCTGGAAAAGGGCTCCCAGGATGGCCAGCTTAGGGCCAGGCTCCCGCCCCCCACCTCCCTCCCCCGACTTCAGCCGAAATCTACAGCCCTGAGGCCCTGACGCCCGGCAAGCTTCCTCCCCTACCCTGCTATATCCCTCTCCTAAGCAGCAGTGGCAAAGGTTCCAAGGAACCTCTGGAAAGCCCTCCATTCAGGCCAGTGGCACCAGAGGCTGAGGGTCATAGCTGGCTCTTCACACAGCCAGGGAGGGCCTCCTTGGGAAGGGGTGCAATGTTCCCCTCCAGATTGGGACAATTCCCGGAGACTCAGAGCTCCTGCCTCAGGAACCCCCAGGGTGTATGAGGATCCGAGTGTGTGGAGGGGGTGTGAAGCCAGAGCAGAGGCAGTGAGGACAGTCAGGGCGCTGAATGTGAAAGTGAGGGGCGTGTGTGCAGCGTGGGCGCAGGGAGGCGTGTAAATGGTGGGGTGAGTCGCGTGTGTGCACACGCGGGGCGGGCGTACAGGGCACGATGCGATGCGCAGTGCGCGGAGTGGCTGGGCCGGATAAGGGCGCCCAGCGTGCGCGGTGCCCGGCATTCGTTCGTGTGCAAGCGCGGCGCGGGGGTGCAGGCGCTCGGAGTGCGTGGGGCTCTGCGGTCCCGGGCTCGGGGTCGGAGGAGTGGGCTGCGTGCGTCCGCGATCAGAGTGCGATTCCGGCCGCGCGCGGGGGTCTGCAGGTTGCGTACTCACCGGGGCTCCGCGGAGGGGCCGCTGCTCCGGTTGGACTCCGGCTCCCGGCACGCCTCCCGCAGCGCGCACGCACCCGCGCCTAGCCCGGCCGCCGGTGGCCACGCCACCCCTGCAGTGTCGCTGGGCGCCCGCCTCCGAGGAGCGCGGCGCGGGCAGGGGGCTCGGCCGGGCCGGGGCGGCGGACGGGAGCTGCGCCGCAGTCCGGGCACGCTCCCAGGAGCCAGCCGCGCGCTTCCTCGCTCTCTCCCGCTCGCCCGCCCGCTCCCTCTTTAATTTAAAGTGACAAGCTCGAGCGCTGTCTCTGCTCTCGGCGTCCGAGCCGGAGATCCCCAAGCGCACTAGGGATCCAGGGACGCCCTGAGGCCAAGCCCAACCCGTCGCTCCCAGGCCTGGGGACAGGGGCAGGTGGGGACGTGCCCACAGGCCTCTAAGAGGCAGGCCGAGCGCTGGGCGCAGAGCCAGCAGCCCTGAGTTCTAACCCCAACCTCCGCGCCCCGGGTTATCCTGTTCCCTTTATAGGCCTGAGTTTCTTTACCTTAAAAATGGGCCCGATACTGCGCACCTCCGGGAGCCAAAGAAAACGGAGCGACAGGAGGCGCAGCGGAAAGTTTCCCCTTTTCTGAATGAATAATTATTCCCTCCCACCACGACTGAGCTGTAACTGTAGGTCAGCTCTGTGCTGGTGCCTTACAGCGTCATCTCAGACCTCGCCATGGCCTAATCTGGTGGTGGTGAGTCCATTTTTTACATGAAGAAACAGGCTCAGAGAGGCCACCAAGGTCACAGAGCCAAAGGTCAGAGCCCGAACTTGAACCCAGGTCTGTGTGACTTCAAACTCCATACCCTTAACCACTAAGGGGTCATGCTTTCTCTCCCAAAGGAATGAATGAATCATTCAGGAGATATTTATGACGCCCCCACAGGAGCTGGGCACAGTGCCAGGTGTGGGCGATCTTCCATCTTCCGGGAACAGGGGACAGGTCCCTCCCTGCCCGCGCAGTCTGGCAGTGAGGCATGGCTTGCATTGGGAGGGGCTGGGTGCGGGGGAAGGTGCCACGTATTGTGGGGACACTAACCAGGGGAGCAGGCTGGGTGGACACCTGGGGAGACCTCTCCAATGATCTGGGGTGGAGTGAGGAAGAGGGGAGAGGGTCCCAGATGGGGAGTGAGTGTACAAGGGTGGCAGTGCTTCCTGGCTCATCCACACCCTGGGCCTTTAGAGCTGAGGGCAGCCTGTTGGCACTGCCCTCTCAATGAGGCTGGGTCTGTGCTGGCCTGGTGCAGAGCAGGCATCCTTGGTCTAGAAGACAGGACACTGAGGAACCCTGGAAAGAGAGGTGCATCTTACCCTCACCCACAGGGGGCGCTTTTGCCTTCATCTCATTTCCTGGACCTGGAACACAACAAAGAGAAAGGGCATTACTAGGGGGCGGGCAGGGGGTGGTTAATGGGCCCTGAGCTTTCACTGCTTTCCAGTGTAACCCAACATTCGCAGCCAGCGGCAGCTTTGGTATGATTGAGTCAGTTTTCTTCTCAGGATACCCAGGCCTGGGGAATGAATGGCAGAGTTCCTGGTTTGGAAGAAAGTTGGGAGTCAGACACCATCGGGGCATAAAAGGGGCAGATTCTTTTTTTTTTTTTTTTTTGAGACAGAGTTCCGCTCTTGTTACCCAGGAGTGCAATGGCGCGATCTTGGCTCACCACAACCTCCACCTCCTGGGTTCAGGCAATTCTCCTGCCTCAGCCTCCTGAGCAGCTGGGATTACAGGCACGTGCCACCATGCCCAGCTAATTTTTTGTATTTTTAGTAGAGACGGGGTTTCACCATGTTGACCAGGATGGTCTCGATCTCTTGACCTCGTGATCCACCTGCCTCGGCCTCCCAAAGTGCTGGGATTACAGGCTTGAGCCACCGCACCTGGCTGAGGGTGCAGACTCTTAATAGGGGATTCTACCCGAGCAACAAAAGACTAAAGTTGAGGCTGGGCACAATGGTTAAAGCCTGTAATCCCAGCAATTTGGGAGGCTGAGGCAGGTGGATCACTTGAGGCCAGGACTTCGAGACCAGCCTGGCCAACATGGTGAAACCCTGTCTCTACTAAAAATACCTGTAGTCCCAACTATTCAGGAGGCGGAGGCAGGAGAATCGCTTGAACCTGGGAGGTGGAGGTTGCAGTGAGCCGTGATGGAGCCACTGCATTGCATCCTAGGTGATAGTGCGAGACTCCATTTTTTAAAAAAAGGCACCGTTGAGGCTGGTCCAGTTCTGGTGTCACCCTGGGGAGCTGATGCAGGAGTAGGAGTGAGCTTGACATGAGATTTTGTCAATTTCATATTGAACACCCTTCAATGATCAGAAAATCATTCACGGGTGCACCAAACAGGACTACAGGACTAGAATGTGTACAGTAGCCCCAAACGGGAGACCACAAATGACCATCATTGATCAAATGCATAGATGCGTTGTGGTGTAGCAACACAACGGAAGACTGTGCAACTTTCTAGAGAAGCAAAACCACAACCACTGATGAAAAGTGGGTGAATCAGCCAGGCGCGGTGGCTCACGCCTGTAATCCTAGCACTTTGGGAGGCCGAGGTGGGTGGATTGACTGAACTCAGGAGTTTGAGACCAGCCTGGGCAACACGATGAAACACCGTCTCTACTAAAATATACAAAATTAGCCTGTATGGTAGCACGTGCTTGTAATCTCAGCTACTGAGGAAGCTGAGGCAGAAGAATTGCTTGAACCCAGGAAGCAGAGGTTGCAGTGAGCCGAGATCACGCCACTGCACTCCAGCCTGGGTGACAGAATGAGACTCCATCTCAAAAAAAAAAAAAAAAAAATGTGGGTGAATCTCACAAACATCCTGCTGAGCAAAAGAAGCCGGGAACAGAGAACACTGCTGAATGGTTCCATTTATAGGAGGTTCAAAGTCAAGCAAAACTACTCTGTGCATGGGATTCTGCTCCCCATGGGAGTGGTGACTAGAGGGGCCTATGGGAGGATGCTGGGGTGCTGGCCACGTTCTGGTTTTGATCTCAGTGCCCATCTCCTGGGTGTGTTCACTTTGTGAAAACTCTTGGCATTGTGCACTTGTGATTTGTACACTTGTGATTCGTACACTTTTCTGGATGCCTGATATGCTTCGGTACAATTTACAGAAACAAAAACATCTCCTGTGGCTGCATGCTGCACTGGAAATGGAAGCCAAACTCTTTTCTGGGGCCCACAAGACCCTGCTGGCCTCTCTGAACTTTCATGCCACCATCCCTCTCACCCGCCAAGCTCCTGCCTCCTGGGCCTTCTGGCCTTCCCTACGCCTGCCAAGCCATTTTCCGCCTCAGGGACTCTCCCATGCTGGTCCCTCTGCCTGGAGCGTTTTCCCTGCTCTCACCACTTTCCTCCATCTTCTGTGCATCACACCCTACATAGGTCACCTCCTCTGAGATGCCCTCCTGACTTCCCTGCCTGGAGGAGCCCCTCCACCCCAACTCATGTCTCCCACACCATACTCTTTTCCTTCAAAACACCGGGCAAAGGCCAGGCATGGTGGCTAACGCCTGTAATCCCAGTACTTTGGAAGGCCAAGGTGGGCAGATTACTAGGTCAGGAGTTCGAGACCAGCCTGGCCAACATAGTGAAACCCTGTCTCTACTAAAAGTACAAAAATTAGCTGGGCATGATGGCACATGCCTGTAGTCCCAGCTACTCAGGAAGCTGAGGCAAAAGAATCACTTGAACCTCGGAGGTGGAGATTGCGGTGAGCCGAGATCACGCCACTGCACTCCAGCCTGGGCAACAGAGTGAGCCTCCATCTCAAAATAAATAAATAAATAAAAACAAAACACCAGCCAAAATCTGCAATGATTTTTATCTATTTACAGTTCATTTTCTGCATTCCCCACTCGACAAATCACAAACACATCGGCACACTCACTATGGATCAACTGCTCTTCTGACACCATAGTAAGGCGCTGAATCCTCACCCCAAGCCCACGAGGGGGTGCTGTTCTGAGCCCCATTTTACAGTTGAGGTTGTTGGGGATCAGAGATGTTATGTCATTTGCTCATGGTGACACAGCTGGAAAGCAGCGGAGCCAGAATTTAAACCTAAGCAGCCTGGCTCCTGAGTCCCTGCTCTTAACCCTGCCTACGCTTTGACAGACTTCATCTCTCTTCTTCCTTGTAGTATATCTGGTATATCTGGGATGGTCCCTGGCACACAGTACGTGCTCAATAAATGTTTGTAGGGTGAATGAATAAATGAATGAATGAACTGCTACAGGATGGGAGTGGAGGGGCTCGGGGGAGCTTGGACCTCAGTGTGGGTGATAAGCAGGGGCATGCTGTGGTATCTGGAGTCTGACTAGCAAGGCCATCAGGGAGCTGATAGCACTGGAAGCTCTGAGGCAGCTGGAAAGAACTGCACGCTGTGGTCAGGGCCAAGGCTCCCGCATAGGTCCGTCCGCCTTCAGCCTCCCTTAAGGACCCTGCAAGGCACAGAGGCTGTGCCCTGAGGGGCCTCTACCTTGAGGGTCCACATCTTGCCTGGGGTCCCTACCAGCATGCCAGCCCCCTGGCAGGTGATGCTGCTCAACAGGTGCCCAGGTTGAAGTGGCCCCCGAGAAATGACATGAATCACCTGCCTCTGGCCAGACACTCCCTGGACCTTTGGAATTTCCCCAGGACTAGGAAGCTTCCAGGAGACCTTGAGTCTAGGTTGGGAGACCTAGACCTTTACTGGGAGACCCGTCAGTAAAGGCCACAGCCCTGTGTCACCATCCCCTTTGAGCCTGCCTTTCAGTCCCCACACTTCAGTCACTGGAGCCAGAGAAATCACTGCTTCCTGGTCATCTTCTTCACCAGCCTTTCCTGGTGGGATGGCCAGAGCTGCGTCCGTCTACCTGATGTAGGCCTGCTTGCACCATCTCCCAGCGGAGCCCCTGCTCATCCGTCCTTGGCCTCTGGGACAGACACTTGGGACCAGCTCCTGAAGAGCAGGGCACCTCAGGGGAGGCCTCGCCCTGAGGTCCGGCCTGAAACACACCCTGTCTCAGCCCCACAGGGATGTTGGGCATGGAGTCAGCGACACTTACGGGTGGGTGAAGAGATAGAAAGGAAAGGCCTCCAAGGTCACACAGCTGGGCCCTAAGACCAGTGCTCCAGCAAGTGGCTTGTCACTTTTTTCTTTTTCTTTTTTTTTTTTTTTAAGACAGGATCTCTGTTGCCCAGGCTGAAGTGCAGTGGCACAAAGACAGCTCACTGCAGCCTTTACCACCCAGGCTCAGGTGATCCTCTCACCTCGGCTTCCTGAGTACCGGAGGGATTACAGGCTCTTGCCACCACGCCTGGCTAATTTTTTGTATTTTTGTAGAGATG